AAGAAAACTAAATCCGTTCATTTAATTAATTCTGACTATGTTGCTTATACCATAGAGGTAACTCTAAGACCACTGGGTCCCGAAGAAAATCATTATTATTTTTGGCTCACTCAGTACCAGAACAACGGTCCCAAGCAGTCCCAAGCTATTTCACTCACCCCTGCATGTTCTGCATGAATCCACACACCCCTGATGTTATCTGTCAAACTTTCATAGCGAATCAAAACAAACATAGTGTAGTAATAGAATTTCAACTAGAATAGGGTACGTTAATCGTTTGCTTGGGACCAATAGGCTACTAAAGTGGTGAGCCAATTTAAAATCGTTAGTTTCGTATTGATTGTTGCTTATACTGTGTCCAATGGCCTTTATGGTTTATTATCTACTGTAATAAGCATGTTTTGCGTTTAGAAGGTTTAAAGCTAAGAGATCTGCGTTTCCGCAATACCCCCATATTCTCGTTCAAATGCTATCCGGACGTAAACTAGAATATGGGTGATATTATGGTCACATGGTTTTGTACATCCAATTATGTTCTTATCAGGCATTGTCATAGTCACACAGCCAAGAACCGAGCGGAAAAAGAACAACACAAAATTCACTATTAGATTGGTTATACAAATGATGGAACTCGAACGAGTAACAACAAAAGGTTCCAATGCCTATCAGAATTAATTCTTTCTGGTACATGGTGAACAGATTACACTGAAAATGGTCCGGGACACCTAATCACGCTCCTAATCAAATGAATGCTAATTGCTTAACAAATTAACCAATATCCACACAAAACGCCTGACATTGGATAAACAAGCAAATTAAATTGACATAGCAAATAAACTAACGCTAGATATTTCTTAAGTATTTTTAAGTATTTTTGGGTATCTTAGATATCACTAAGATTTTTATATGTATATTAGGAAAAATACAAAGTTTAGAGTGGGATGCCCCTAGGTGTATAACGTTGTTATCTTAAAATTGACGAAACTCCATATGGGACTGATATGCGATTATAGGCAGTATACCTATATCTTTAAGAAATTGCAGAGAACTTCTAAGAATTTTAGATAGTTTTAGATATTTTCATGATATTCAGCGAAGGTCCAGGTACTTCAAGGACGATCAGATAACTTCAGAATAATCCCATTAACTTAAGGATATGTGCAGCGACTTACAAAGAGTTCCGTGGAAATATGGGATATTCCGAAAATTTTATGGTTGATCCGAAACCTTCAAAAGCGTCAGAGAATTATGAATATAAATCAGAAAATTTGCCGGAACATTAAACAGCTTTAGAGATCCTCAGGTAACCATAGAAAACTTCGGGGATGTCCAGATAAGTTCAGGAAAAATAGTGATTTAAGATAAAGTTCCGTGAGCGTTTATAAAGTTTATAAAACATTAGGAAAATTTGCGAAGCCTTATAAAAAAGTACAGTCGAATTTCGCTCGTTGGGCTATCTTTAAGTGGGCTACGTTTTAGTTGGTCTCCCGTTAGTTGGGCTGTAGCCCACCTAAATCGAAGTCAAACGTCATTTCTGACAGTGCTGATTCCTTTTCGAGGGTCATGGATGAACAATTAACCACTTTATTCGAGCACTTAAAATGACGTTTACTACCACTCGAACTTTGAAATAAAACATTAGGGTTTTTGATCTAATTTCCGTCCTACTAAGCACAACCCGCGTTTTACCTCCCTTTGCTGAACGAGTTTAAACAAAAAATGTAATATTTCTGTCAAATATGACTTGCAAATTTATTCACCTTTCCATACGTACCGTTGGATTTGATAAAGAGTCACAAATTGTTGAGATATTGTCTAAAATCTAGCACTGCTTCTTGATTCTAAATTCGTTCTACGAGTTTCAATTCCGTCCTAACGCATTGAAACGCCATTAGATTTTCTTCGTCCTACGGATAAACGTAGAAAAAGGGGATTCGCTAGGAGCGCTTCTTTTGTTTTGAGAACAATGAGCGTAAATATTCATGCAATGCGCTCTAACAGGATTTATGTTGTAGCTAATGAGCTAGCGCATCGGAACAAACCTATAATTGATTTGTGCACGTTTAAATCATTGATATTATTGATCTTTTCTGATCGATAGAACGGAAATGGGCGATTACGACGAAGTAGCGCTCTTCCCTATTTTGAGATTTTTTCTTCTAGAACCTCGAGAAAAGTAGCCAACATTTGTGCGTTTCATAAAAAATATAAATTATTTGGTCCAGTTTTGTGAAATCGCTGATAGAAAGTCACGCCAAAACTGCTTGATAAAGTGGTCAATTTGGATAGTTGCTCAAGGATTGGGATGACAATAATCAATCGCGGTGTATCACTCAATCAATTTTTAGCTTGACACCTCAGCCCAACTAATGAAAGCCTTTCACTGAGTGGGCTATGGGATTTGCCCAAAGTTGACTGTACTAAGAAATTAAAGACAGTCTAGAGAACTTTAAGGAATTTCAAAAAACTTTTGGGCAGTTTTAATAACAACAGGAAAGTCTAGACTATTGAAGAAGCTATGAATTAGTGTCGATAATTGAAGGGCAGTACCATGAACTTCAGTCAAATCTTGAGAACTTCGGTGTAAATCATAAAACCACAGACAAACAGACGTAACTCTTTGAAAAAGTTATCTTTGAAAACATAGTATCTCAAAACATAGAACCTCAGTAACGACATCTCTCGGGCTTCTCGCGGAAAACAAACTTGTTCGCTAACTCGCAAACAATATTGCATAAAAGTTCTATAGAATGTACAGAAACGTCAAAGTGATCCGATGCCAGCGCTGCGGCGAGTAGTTCGCGTAACTCATAATATTCAAATCAACCGTTAAATGCGTGCACGAAGATACACAATGAAGAGTTACGTCTGTTTGTCTGTGATAAAACTGTTACATTCAAAGTGTTTTTATGTTGCTTCATACGCGAAGTTTGCGATTTTTAGAATTGGTTAGAAATGCTATCTAACATGAAACTGTATTAATTATTTCGTTTTGACTTCAAGTTGCAGACATTTCAGAAAAAAAAACTTCGAAAACATTACAGAAGCGCTGAGATCTTCAGAAACATTTCGAGAACTTCATAGAAGTCTATGGAACTTAAGGGAAGTGCTGATAGCTAAGGAAGTTTCATGAACATTAGCAAGTTTAGAAGTTCATGGAAGCTTAAATGTTTTTAGGACAGGGGGAGAGGTAGCTCATCGATTCTTCCGGTTCGCCTCCTAGCATCGTGCTATAAGGTACCAGGCGATAACCAGGGACGTCATTTCGTTGGCGTCTGCAATGGGAAATTCTCATAGCAGGCGTTGACGATGGGACGTTGTCGAGTTGTTGAATAGCAACTATCGTGGTAACTCACCGATTACCTGTCGATCTGCCAAATTTGGAAAGACGTCTGCATTGAATTGTCTCATATAATAATATTCCGCCCACTATATCACAAGAAATTGCGAGTAGCTGAGTGGAATGGAGATAAGTTAAGCATTGGGTACAGGACCAAGTCTCCCCTGGGTGGTGCCAAAAGATGAGCGCAATATAATCATCAAGTTGCCATAAGGCACGGAATGAGACTATTGCATGGCTGGGTAGTCAAAGTCTTCCATTCGTTAGTCATTTCAGGTGGATTAGAACAGGTTTAGGTTTAGGGTGGGCGTTGGCCAGATTTGGATTTTTCATATGTAATCCTGGATAGGACCCCGTCATTGAACGTCGCGTGAAAGTGGAACTTAATGAAGGCCTAAGTACTTTTTCGTAGTTTTTAGTTTTCGGATTTGAAAGATCGTCGGTTACAGTGGCCTGCTTACTGAGCAGAAAAACGCGGTCCCAGGTCCTTACATATCAAAGAGATTTATGGTAAAATCGCTTGTGTATCGTGTATTTTGCGAAACTCGTTGTTGTCGTTGGTTCCGGGTTTAAATGGATATACAAATTTGAGCAACGGTATTATGTGATATGAGGGCTATTCGTTGACAGCTCGCTCCCATATAAAGTCCCACCGAGGGGCTATAAGATGGTGACTTTTGCTAATGTAATCGTACTTATTTAAAATAGTTCCAGTGTACCAAAATTTATGAAATTCAGTTCCATTTTAAATGCAGATAACGAATATATATTTACCTCAATACCTCTAAACAACCCAATTACATAAATTTTAATGAAGTTTCGAGAACATCAGCGAATTGCCAAGGCTTTAGAGAAGATCCATGAAATCTGAAATACATCGTGCCTCCCTTATCTCAGTCGGTAAAGGGGCAGCTACAAAGCAAGACCATGCTGGAGGGTTCAATTCACCGGTCCGGTCTAGGTATTTTTCGGGTTGGAAAATGTATCGAGCTCGCTGGGCATAGAGTATGATTGTACTTGCTACACAATTATACTAATGCAAAAATGGTACAGGCATCGAAAGCTCTCAATCAATAACTGTGGAAGTGCATCTAAAACACTAAGTTGAGGAAGGAATCCACGCAATAAGCTAATATGCAATAAGCTAATATGCAGTAAGCTTCAAATGTGAGGGTTCAATTCCAGTCGGCGCCGTCGGCATTTTCTGAGGCATAACATCAGTGATCACGCCTTCCTTCGGAAGGGAATTAAAGCCGTTAGTCCCCGGTCCAGGTAGGCGTCGGTAGCATTGGTACTCAGTAGGGAAAACAAGATCGGCGGAAAACAAATCAAGGGAAAGCTTGAAATGCGAAGAAGGTCAAGAAGAATTGAGATTGACCAGTTTTTTCGACAATAATCAGTGAAATAATAGTGCACATGGTTACATATGATCAGCAGGAATATTAAACGAGTGAATTAGTCGGTTAAACGCATAATTAGAACTCATTTTGTGAATAAATTTCGAAAAAAAAGCGGAGAATGGAGGTCGAGCGGTGTTCCATCGTAGGTAGATCATATTCTAGTGCTTATAGTTTCGGACTGCGAGGCTGAAAAGGTTAACACAAACACTTTAAACTACAAATGTTAGTTTTATTCAGCGAATGATTTACCTACCAAATGGTAGTAGATGGTATGGCATTGACAAAACTTAAACACTACGCAAGGGTAAAACTCGAATGCAAACTCGAAACTGAACCATTAGACTTCAACCCGTCATCGGAAGGATAGCTCACGGAAAAAATATATATTAGAAATGCAACTCGGACAAGAAACACCTCCATCAGAAATACAACCATAACACTAGTAAAAGCAAAACTCTATCCTTCCGTCGGTTCCAGTGTCAAAATTTGAACATCGATTTCAGCTTATGAACAATACCCTTTTGCTGCTGCTTATCATCTCCTCCACTCGGATCCACGCTCGTCTTAACGTTACTGCTACCGCTACCTTTACTACTATCAGGTGTACTGCCCCCTACTGTTTCGTCTCTAGCCGCTTCGCCCGTATCCCTATCCAGTGGTTTCGTGATCGGTGCTTTCGCAACGGAATTCCGATCAACCCTCCTCGCTGCAGGTGGTGGTTGTAACGGGGTTGAATTATCGACAACTACTGCCGATTTCGGTGTTGTTGATGGTACTGCTTCTGGATAGGGACACCCGAGTTCCTATTGCTTTCGGGGCTTGCTCTCCTTCTTCGTCGGCAGGATGATGTGCTTTCGTCGGATAACATCCAAGTGATCCTGAGCGATCATCTTTTCCTCCCACTGCTTCATGTCCGCGTGATATTTCACCAGCGCCTCCGCCGCACGGGTTGTATACGGGGCCTTTTCGGCTTCGCTCAGCTGGGCCCACTTTTGCGCCATCAACTTAATCTGTGATTTGTTTTCCTCCTTGTTTAGATTCTTTGGCTTGATGTCGGCGCAAAACAGAAAGAACCCATTCGAAGGTCGTTTCGGTTTCCCAAGTTCCTTCACCTTCTTCCGGTACTCTCGTTTTGCTTTCTCCTCAGTCTTCTCCACCCGTGCCTGACGGATTTCGACCTTCTGCTGGTCGGTCAACTGGCTCAGATATTTGGCATTCTGCTGCAACCAGACGGCTTGCTCTTTCTTAAACTCATCCTCTAGTTTCGATTTGGAGACCGCGTCCAGCACCTGCCACTGGGCGGCAGCCAGTTTGGAAATGTCCGTCGGCGACGCTTTGGGATTCTTGGCATGGAGGGTTGAGCGAATGCTCTGTGCGAATCTTATGTAAGCATTGACTGGACGCTTCGGCTTCTCGGGAAGCTTCGAACCGGAAGCTGCCAGGCCCGACAGACTTGCCGAGGTTTTGAGCCCAGGAGTCAGCTGATATGACGGTAGGGAAGTTCTTGAAATGAAAATGAAGGTTTACAGTCGGCACATAACCTAGGGCCAGAAAGCTATTGTGGGAGGGGGGGTTTCCTTTCTTACCTGGAGCTGATGCATAGCCGCGAGGAGTTGAGCAGTCGTACCAAGCCGTTCACTTGCATTTTAGCTTCTGCGTTACTTTCTGACGAATTTAAAAAGCAATATCGCGATTATTTTTCGATAAATTCTACAGAATGAAGTGTGATTCGTTTGGCGTGAGCCTAAAATATTTTTGTTGGTCTTTTCAAAGCGCTTGACATTCGACGCTTTTGTTTACCTTTTGCGCGTTCGTTTCTGATGATGATGATGATGATGATGGTGCGAAGCGCCGAGGGGCGAATTGCTTACACAGAAAATGAAACTTACCCAAAGCTTGAGTTTATACAACCCGAAATTAAGTAAAACCGTTATAGCAACAATCAATACGAAACTAACGATTTTATATTGGTTATAGCTAAATTGGTTATAGCATAGAGGTAACTCTGAGACTTGAAGGTCCCGAAGAAACGAGCTCAACTTTTTGGCTCAGCTCTGGTACTATATTCGGTCCCAAGCTAATCGATTCACCCCTCGAAACAGGAAAATCCACTAGCCCCTCATTTTATCTGTCAAACTTTCATAGCGAATCAAAACAAACATAGTGTAGTACTGGATTTTCGACTAGAATGGGGTGCGTCAATCGATTTGCTTGGGACCAACAGGCTAGTCAAGTAGTGAGCCAATTTAAAATCGTTAATTTCGTATTGATTGTTGGTTCTACCACTTGAGGTCCACCGATGAGTAAATCTCAAACAAGTTCTGGTTGAAATTTACTCAATTAATGAGTAATATCAGATGAACTCAAATTTGAGTTATTTTTCTGATGAAATTCAATGCAAAAAATATTATTTAATTATTTGTAATGATTTTCATTGTTCCTATAATGTTTGTTTTATGGATGCTTGTTAAAAGTACACCATCAATAATTCTAAAGAAACCTCCTAAAATAGTTTTCAAGATGTTTCATTCAAAGCAATCGCACTACCCTAATAAAAATTGTATGGTTAATGTGCTTAACGACGTGTTCTGGGTATCATCCAAACCATTTGTGGAATAGTTCAATGATTTGGGTTATCGTTCGTTTATGGTTATTTTTTATTAGGGTACGAATTGAAGTGAAAATAAACTCAAATTTTAGTCAAAATAACTCAATTGGCATGATCTCACAGCATGATGAATAGTTGAGTCACAGACAAACAGACATAACACATTGAATATTTCTCACTTTAAAACATCACCGCCATCTGTTGAGTACACTGTGGTGGGTAGTAGTAGCACAGACAAACAGACATAACACTAGCAAGTTGTTCATAGAACAAGCATTTAACGGACAACTTAAAAGTATCGTAGTTGGTAGTACCAGCACCTGTGGCGCGCATAGTCAATTCCCTTGCGTTTGACGTTTACACACTACCGCCATCTGTTCAGTGTAGTACCCACCACAGTTTACTCAACAGATGCCGGTAATGTTTTAGCGACGATGGTTTATAGTGAGAAATATGCAATGTGTTATGTCTGTTTGTCTGTGGTAGTAGTACGCCGAACAGATGGCGGTAGTGTGTAAACGTCAAACGCAAGGGAATTGACTATGCGCGCCACAGGTGGTGGTACTACCAACCATGATACGTTTAAATTGACCGTTAAATGCTTGTTCGTTGAACTACTTGCGAGTGTTATGTCTGTTTGTCTGTGGTTGAGTACTTTTAACTTATTTTTGGATGAAAATTATAACAGCACTTCGGTCAGTGCTGCAGTTGTTGCTGGCAATTCATTGTTTGCGTTTGCCTTGACTAGTCGTTCGCCTACAGTTAAAGTGATTTTTTGTTCATGCTGATTGAAGGCAATGTTGCTGATTGATGAGCGAAGCCGCGATTTGAAACCGACAATAATCTCCACGGGAGAGAACTACGAACCAAAACTGTCTCTGTTCATCAGTCACCTACCGCTTCAAGAGAAGAGCGAAAGAGTGCCCTTTACGTTTACGCCTTTATCCGTTCATTCTATGAAATGCACAAATCCAAGCCGATACCGAGGAAACTCGGTTACTGAGTGAGTGCCGCTCGAGTTTCAGGTGGCTTGAATCACTGATTGACTGAGACAATGGTTGAGCAAGATTGTACTGGTTATTATGTACGGATACGGAGACACGACAAAGAGAGGGAAAGAGAGTTTTTTTTTCTCTGCCTGCCGCAGTCCGCGTTCAGTTTTATTGGGGAAGCTTATTGTTGTTATTCTTACTGATGCAGATTTTGCTGTCTTCACCCATTGAGCAATGTTCACCTAAATTTTTCTGCGGGGAGGCGAAATAGTTTGCAACAAATGGACGGTTTTGCGCTAACGAGGCATCTTGAGGGCAGTGAGGGAAAGATGGGCACTTTCTGTTTTAATCCAACAAATCCGGAGTGATTTGAGATTTGGGCGTAATTGATTTTTTAAACAAACACTTCAATCCCCGATTTCTCGCAAATAAAAGTTCAGCCTAGAAAACTAATAACACGATCAGGTAAAGGAATGATATCTCTATCATATGGTATAGTTTATTCGAGAGATTGAGCTATCATTCACGAGAAATCGGTGATTGACGTTTTTGTTTACAAAAACAAACAAATAATAAGTAACGAAAAATCACTCTTTCCCCACATATGTTACGTTTTTTGTAATGCAAATCGCAATAGATTGTTTTAAATTTCTTTTTCAGTTTTAAAAATAATTGTTCTCGGTACTTACCCAAATGAATGATTTCAATATTCTCATTCTCATCCATGATCTGTGCGTTTATTGCAAAAATGTGGAGACCCCGACGTGACGCTGAATCTATTTTCAGGTTCAACAGTCACCCCTTTGGACGCTTACTAATGAGCTGTTGTATTTCCTTTGCCCCTTTCTCAATCAGGCTTGAAATAAACACTCTTGTAAAGGGTACCCCGGCTGCCTGATATAGTGGTTTAAGCAGAGTTTTGGCACCGTTCCAGTCCGGGAATCTTTGTGGCAAGCTATGGCTTGTCACAAGCTGCAACGTTCCTAGAATGACGTTGGTTTTGTTGGTGTCAACCAATAATTTACCACTCGCACGGGATTTCTTCGTAGATGGCCCTTCTCCAGCATCTTCACTTTGGCAAAACCCCAAACTTTTTGCCACCACAGCGTGGTGGGACACCATGTGTCGCTTGAAATTCCCGCTAAGAATTTTTTTTTGCTCATAAGTGCACTTGGCGTCGGGATCAGCATTGCACCGAAAAACTGATCCTCCCTCCGTCGGTACTTCCTTCACTACGCTCAACACTGGCTCTTTTAGCGGCTTACGTTTTGCCATCATCACACGCGTACAAACAAAGTTGAAGATAAAACAACTTACAAAGGCACAACTGCTTCAGCGAACAGGTAGACTCAAGCTGACTCAATTTGTCTCTATCAGCACACTCTGACTCAGAGCTCGAGTTAGATTCATGGTGAATCAGAACGACTAAGCTCAATGACTGAGAGAGAGAGAGTCTGGTTGGATGAACACATTCTCAGCATTTGTCTGTTCTCCCGCTGAGCTGAGTCGGAATATTTCTGTTATTGCCTCTGTACTATTCGTAGTGAGAGCCTGGTAGGAAATTAACATAGTGAGTTGTATCTCTCAAATACTGGTACTGAGTTTTCATTGATGCGAAAATTTGCAACATTGATTGAAGGTAAGTGTTTTCAATTATTCTGTTATGTGAATTCTCCCAAATTTGTTGTTTAGTTCGATCCGTACAGGTTCTAATCGAAGAGCTCTCAATATGGATCGTAGAGTCGGAAAATACCCGACAGATAACACCGCTAATTGGCTGAACATCCAGACGTGTCCGATTTCGCCCGGTCCAGATGGGTTTCATTTAGTCCGGTACAAACCGGACCGGTTTTCATTTCGTTTGGCCAATCGAAGATCTCCACAGATGCAGAACAGTGGATGCTGCACATCAAAATGGCCAACGGAACCATACAACATTGGACATTGAGCAGTAGTCTTGCCTGATTTTTCCAAACCATCCATCCGCGATCCGGGATCTCGTTGCCAAATGTAGAGATTGTTGAACTACCGTATGCGTGATAATGTTTGCACCATTGAGCAATGTCAAAATTAAAAAAATTCTCAAAAATTTCGTTTTCGACTTTTGTTTTTATTTATTCAAAAGAGGGATGTTTCTCAGAGCCTTAAACTATGTTAATAATCGATCGAGTTTCCACTTGCTGCAATTACGGCCTCCACACGCTTCCGGAATGCACGGCAGGTTCTAATAATGTAGTCTGGATCAATTTCTCTCCAGGTACGGGCGAATGGTTTGTGTCAAGTCAATTTCTTACCAAATGAGTTTAAATTTTGGGATGCTAATCGGGACCTGATTTGAAACCGTTTGAGCACTGTGGAGCGAAAATTTCAAATTTTGCATCAGTCTAGTGTATTGCAATGAATGGAATATAAATAAAATGAGCATATACGCCACTTCTGCATTCCGTAGTGCTAACCACATGACAATACATTCAAACCAGGCCGAGAAGATTCAAACAGTGAAACATATGAGTAGTTTATATGTGTACATTGGATTTGTTTATAACCGGCTTGATAAGATTATTATTGCAAGCTGAGAACATTGCAATCAAAATTCATTCATTTCGCTACTTTGCTGAATATATCACTACAAAATGGAGCTGTGTATTAAAGACAAAAAAATCGTGGTTACCGGAGCAGGACAAGGTGAATATAATTGATTCATACTTTTACGTAGGTATTTACTCATACACAATAACGATTGACCAACAGGAATCGGCAATGAACTGTGCAAAACTCTGGACAAGATAGGTGCAAAGGTGATAGCAGTATCGCGATCGCCCGGTCCACTGGCGGCGCTGAAAAAGGAATGTCCGTCCATCGAGATCGTGCAGGTGGACTTGAGTGATTGGGTTGCTACCAGAACTGCCCTGGAGAAGATCGATAGAGTAGATGGGCTTGTAAATAACGCTGGAATTGCCATCATCAAGTCCTATGATGAGCTTACTGAGAAGGACTTTGATGAGTACGCCGAAATAAGACGACCTACGCGATGAGAAGTTTAAATCCTAGAACTGCTCCTTACTTTCAGTACGTTCAACATCAACATCAAGGCAGCGTTCAACGTGTGTCAAATTTTGATCCCCAAGATGGGTCCCGGATCTAGCATCGTCAATGTGTCCTCGTTGGCGGGATTGAAGTCGTTTCAAGGTCACTGCGTCTATTCAATGACCAAAGCTGCGCTGGATTCCATGACCAAGAGTTTGGCGCTCGAGCTGGGACCGAGGAAAATCCGTGTCAACAGTGTCAATCCTACGGTTATTCTCACTCGGATGGGACGTGAAAATTGGAGCGATCCGGTCAAAGCCGGTCCACTGATTGCGAAAATCCCCTCAGGTCGTTTCGGCGAAGTCAACGAGGTAGTCGAACCGATTGTGTATCTACTGAGCGACAAGTCGGTCTACATCAATGGGCATTGTATGCCCTTGGAGGGTGGCTATTTGGCTGGAAATTGAGGTGTGATGAGTGAAATCGAAAACAACTTTTTTTCATTGTTTGTTCAATAAATCCGTTTATTATATGCTCCATTTCTTCATTTAACTCTTTTACAAATAAGATGCTTATACGAGACGAAAAACACAGAATTGCGCTTAAAAGTATACGATAATGATGGAACTAAACTCGAGCATTCCTGCCGTAAGAATACCTATACGGTTTTACATGTGATGACTGGCGGCACAGTATAGTGAGTCTTTCGGTCTAATATTGTTAAATTTGCATGCTGTGATTGATTTGCATAAATTTTAAGTACACCTGGATGCGGATTCGGTAGGGTAAAATTGCAGTTGATGGTAAAATATGAAATCTTCAATGCTATTATTGATCTATATAATGTGACATGTGCGCATTGGTCATCTCCCAAGTGATTATACATTTAACTTATTAAAAAAATAGCTACTAATTGGATCGGAAACTAGTTTCACAAGATTCTTACGTAACAGAAAATGAGATTGACAAATGAAGGAAAGGAAACTCATCCAATATCCTAATCACAGTTTCTTTTTAGGGGTGACATATTAGTAAATGAAGCAAAAGATACAAAGTCTCATTGCAAAATTCAATTTCCTTTCGCTATAACCGACTATAATGATTAGAGATGACTTTGGTTAGCATGCTTCCATTCCGCCTAATAACCATCTGCTTTTCGCAACGCGCTCGGACGAAAAGTAGCGTTTATTTGCTTCGTAATGTGTTGTTCGTTTTCGGGAGGTTGGTATGGGATTACAGGGCTGCGCCGGAGGCTCTGGTTCTCAGCCTGTTGTTGGTGGAAGGTTTAGGCAGTTCCGATGCCAAGTGCAACGCCTGCCGCAAAGGCACACACGAATATATGAAGATCGTTGATCTTGCAACCGGTATCGTCCCCAATCAAGTTGGTGTACCACTTGTGGGCCTTCTTAGTCTTTTTCTTCAGAACATCCTCGGCTTGGTTCATCTTGCGGTCTACAAAGCGTTCGGCCTGTAAAGAAGATAGGTGTTTTATTTTAGATGTTGAATTTCATATCATTTTGGCAGCACAAGAGATTGCAGAAAATAATCCAAGAAGTCTAACCAGTGGTGCGCGGAGAAATAATGAAGCCAGATAATAAAAGCAAGAAAAGATGTAGGTTGTAGATAACGGATGGGCGGATGGTCAATAGATCCAATGGATAAGTGGTTGCGAATTTGAAATAAGCAATCCTGAACACATTTCTTCAAAATGCGACACATCCGAAAACAGTCTCCGTCAGGCCATAAGTTGGTTTTCTTTATTTAAGAGACTCAGCCGTAAAGGGTGTCCACGATGAAATTGCCACACACAAAAATTGATTCGCAAAATTCGACTTTTCATCCGATTGCCATCAAATTTTCAGGGATTGAGAAATAACTATTAAACTTCATTTTACCATTTTACTCGTATTTTATTTACAGTCCATACGTAAATGCCCGCACCTTGGCCTTAACCCCGGCCATAAGATTCTGCACAACCTGTGAATCAACCGTTTTTTGCATGTAAACCCATACTTTCTTCAGTTCCTCGACTGTCTTCACTACCTTAGGTCGTTTAAGAAGGTGCTGCTTCATAATCGCCCAGTACTTCTCGATGGGGCGGAGCTCCGGAGTGTTGGGAGGGTTGAACATTTTCGGCACGAAATTGACCTTATTGTCCGCATACCACTTCAGCACGTCCTTGGAGTAGTGGCATGAGGCCAAATCCGGCCAGAAGATTGTTGGGACGTTGTGGGCCTTCAGGAGAGGAAGCAGCCGCTTCTGGAGGCACTCTTTTATGTACACCTGTCCGTTCATCGTGTCCTGGGTCACGAAAGGTGCACTCCGCTTCCCGCACGTGCAGATGGCTTGCCAAACCAGGAATTTCTTCGCAAATTTGGACATCTTCTGAGTGCGGACATGCTCCGGAACGCTGAACTTATCCTTGGCCGTGAAAAACAGGTTGCCGGGGATCTGTTTGAAGTCGGCCTTCACATATGTTTCGTCGTCCATGATGCAGCATTCAACTTTCGTCAGCATGTTGAGGTACAACTTCCTGGCACGGGTTTTGGCGGACTTGTTCTGCTTCTCGTCGCGATTAGGGGCCTTATGTACCTTGAACGTTCGAAGCCCAGCCTTAGTTTTGGCCTTCTGGACAAAACTTCGGCTTAGGTGCAGCTTCTTAGCCACATCCCTAACGGAGGCGTTCGGATTTCGGTTGAAGGCCCCAACTACGCGGTTGTGATTTTTGGTGTTGTACGGAATACTTTTTCCTTCACTTCTGGGCTTCCGATCGGTGGTCAACCGTTCCTCGAACCGCTTAATCACTCGCGACACCGTGGAATTCGCGATTCCCAACGTTTTAGCGATGGAACGATGCGAGAGATCCTTGTTCTCGTGATGAATGCCCAAGATTTTATCACGCACGAGCTGTTCTTTCGACTCCATTTCCGCGAGTTTTGATCACAGGACTTTAAAACTTACAGGATGTAAATAATGCACTATGAACTAAATCCACCCAAAGTTTCATTAAATTCTACCCAACGGTTAAAAAGTTAGAGCAATTTCATAGTGTGGCAATTTCATCGTGGACACCCTTTAGGCTGATTCATCTCTCGTAAGTACTTAAGATCGAGGAGAGCGTCACATAAATCTCAACCGCTGCTCAAAAAATCTCATGCTAGCGAATATATCTACTTGAAATCTTTCATTTTCGCATCTACTCGCACCGTGGTCCATCTATTGGCAGGAAATCTTCAAAATCTCAAGGGGTATTCAACTCTGCACATATACATCTGTTTCAAAGTATTTAGCTTTGCCAAACGCTAGGCCAGGGTATGCACAATGTGCCGAAGTAGGTCGAAGTGTGTCAATAAAATATCCCATTAGGGTTGATGCATATATTATGTCACGCTCTAAGGGGGGAGGTGGGGTCTAAGATTTTGTGACAAGCAATGCATTAGGTATAGAAAAAACGTCACGATAGGGGGTGGGAGGGGGTAATTTTTTGCACGATTTAGCGTGACATAATTAATGCATGGGCTCTTAGTTTGGCATCCCTGAAATTGAAATGACGTTTGTGATCCCAAAGCCATCCATGCAAGAAGATAGCCCGTAATCTCTTGATGAGCCGCATTTGGAATTACGGAAATCTGTTTTGCACAATGAGCTTTGCTAAACATAAAATTGCTTAGAGTCGTCAAACGGACACCACTGAGCGTACCGAAACTCACTCTGCCGCGAGTAAAATTTTCGAAATTCAGCATGGCCTTCCAGTTGACCGATTGTTAGGCCACCAATCACCGACGGGGCCTCTTATGATGAACAAGTTCAATAGAAGGATGATGACAGAGATGCATCTGCAAAATGACCGGATCGTCCAAATAGCTGGGGTGGGACGTGCTGTAAAATTAGGCTACTGATCATTCTTGTATGAAATTGGTTCCAAATGTAAACAAACCCTGTACACACTTAATTTTTTTCGCCGAGATTCCAACAGCCGAGTAGTTCTGCAATTTATTTTGCTGATATTCAGTAAAACAATTACCGAGACTCAGCTAACAAATAACTATTTGCAGAAATATCAGCTAACAAACAGATATTTTGCAGAGATATCAGCAAAAGTAAATGCCGAGGTAATCGGCTGTTGGAGATTTTACCGAGCTAGATTAAGTGTGTAGGTTTCTTATGGCTTGTTTACGTTTGGAACCAGTTATGTGAGGTAGGCGACGATTGTTCGTATTTGACAGCATCCTCCCCCCCCCCCCCCTTGCCAAATCGCGGAACAGACTGACTTTATTAATCCGTTCCAATGAATCCTATACTAAGGCTTGTACTCGAAAAAAATGCACCATTTTTATCCGTGTATAACTTTTTTATCCGTGGGTAAAAATTGATGAAAATCTGGGTATAACTAGTTTGGAGTGAATTGTTTACATGTGCAAAATTTCATAACAATCGGTTCAGTGGTTATTGAGATGTCATCGAAACAAGAAGAAAATCGCCGGAGAATTTTGCGCGCCCTCATGGAAAATCCGACTGCGACCATAAGATGGATCGGAAGACAACTGGGAATCACCCATACAACTGTGTCTCTTTAAGGAGTCCCAGACGGCCGAGCGGCGGGCTGGAAGTGGAAGAAAATCGAAGACAGCTGACCCTGTGAAGGCCCGGAAGGTGTTGGATTATTTCAAGCGTAATCCGAACCTTTCGTTTCGCGACGCGGCTCTGAAGGCAAAGTGTTCCGCCTGGTTCGTTCAGCAAACCATGAAACGAGCTGGGCTTCGTGTATTCAAGGTCTGGAAGGCACCGAACCGGCGTGATCAACAAAATACGGCGGCCAAATCCCGCGCAAGGAAGCTGTATCGAGAGTGGTTAACGAAACCGATGTGTGTGGTTATGGATGACGAAACCTACATCAAGGCAGACGCAAAGCAGATACCGGGGCTGGAGTTCTACGTTGCCAAATCACGGTTTGATGTTCCGGAAGACATAAGAAAGAAGAAAGTGGACAAATTCGCCAAAAAATACTTGCTCTGGCAGGTCATATGCCAATGCGGTAAACTGAGTAAACCGTACATCTCAATGGGTACCATCAACAGCGAAATTTACCGCACCGAGTGCCTCCATAAGCGTCTGTTGCCCTTCCTGCGGTCCCACGGAGGCAAGACATTCTTTTGGCCGGACCTGGCATCATGCCATTACGCGCGATCGACGTTGGATTGGTACAGAGACAATAACGTTGTTTTTTGTACCAAAAACCGCCAACCCCCCAAATTCACCAGAGATTCGTCCGGTGGAAAGATTTTGGGCCATAATGAAGGCCAAAGTTCGAAAATCGTCCAAGGTGTTTAAGAACGAGCTGGAGTTGAAGAAAGAATGGATGAAAGTGACCAAAAAGGTCGGCTCCACCATTGCACAAAATGTAATGAGGGGTCTTAAGGGAAAGGTGCGGGCTTTCAGCGATGGAAAGGAAATTGAATAAAGTAATTATGCCGAAACACAATTCATATGTATTAGTTCATTCCCTGAAAGTTTCCAGAAAATCCGACTTAAAATAAATTTTTGGCGAGCACTTTTGTCTGGTGCATTTTTTTCGAGTACAGGCCTTACTGCGCATAGACAATCGTTGATCAGCCCAGACCTGATGGAATATTTGGGGTTAATACATATCAGCATCTCCCAGCCGTACTGTGACTTTTTTTTCTTCAAAACTCTATGGATATCCCTTCCCAGTCCTGTGGATTTCTCATGACAACGACCAGTCACCCCTATTCTGTGAGTCGTGTGACTCTCTATCACTAGTGAGGAGACAAACTTAACGTCATCACACTAGTGATAGAGAATAACACGATTCATAGAATAGAGGTGAA